GAGTAGATTTAAAGTCACATCAAATTCTATATTTATCATAAATAACCATAATTTATAAAACCTGTCAACGAAGCTGACAGTAAAATTACTAGATTATCACAAAATGAAATTAAAACTATTAACATATATCTTTATCCTGTAAACAACTATTTTGGACACTAAGCAATGTAAAAATGGGCTATTCATCGCATAACAACTGAAGGTAGATCACCATACTAGGGTTCACTTCGTGACGAGTCGGTAGCGAGATGCCGCCTCTGCCGGATGCGGGCCGAAAAAAAACATGAGGAATATGAACCAAAACTGAAGATATGCAGAGCTGATTTCAGATCAATACTTATAGCGTTGTATATCAAGTGAACTAATAAACACGCTAACCCGCACTAGTAAATATATCCTTCCACTCTCGACATTATATTGCTTACGTCATCCATGCAGCATTTACTTTATGTCATTTTGAATTCAATTGTGACGTAAGTCTAAATAACGTCAGAAGGGACAAATGAATCATTCATTACCATACTCATTATTTGACGTCATTTCAATAGCTGTGTTTTTAGACGTCAGAAGCCAGATCAATGATCAGAAATCATTTCCAGATCTAGGGTAATACAACCATGGATGTATACAACTGTGAATAGTCCTATATGGGCGAATCCCTTCCATCAACAACAGAATCAAGAGCCAAAAACATGAATTGTCAAACCCAGACAGCATATAAGCATTCTCAGCGAACCATACCGGTAACCGCCCTCATCCCAACATCCATGTTTGTTTCCCCTGTTTTCATACCACACCTATTCCAGATTACCAGGGAATGGCGGCCATGATTGTTACATGTCGAACTCTCCGTGAGCCAGAGAGGCATCAATCAGCATGCGATGATTAAACGTTCAAAACCCTTGGCTGACATGATCCAGTCGTGAAAACAGTGACCGACTCTGTGAACTCTGGAGTCAGCATTTCGTTTCTCGACCAGAACAGCTTTGTATCTATAATATACATATATATGTTTATAATTTCCAGTCATCAAAAGATCAATCAAGACTCCTCGACTGCTACAGATGGTGTCTAAACGTAGCATACAGATTCTCGGTACTGTTTTACAACGTAAGATAATATTTATTAAACAACTGGAAGGTAGATCAACATATTAGGGACCATGGGGACTTCTAGTACTTTGCTACCTGTATGGACCTTAGTCGAGAAAACCGACGCCTTACATCCCAGACACGTGCTCACGTGAAATCCGGAGAAATAATCTTTTGCATCGGTTTAGATAACGTTGTTTACAAGCAAGCAGTCGTGCAAAATGGTTTTCGTTCTTTGGCCAAATATTTGATATCATTAAGATTGCAGGATTGCAAATGAGTACTTATTCTATTGCATTCATTTCACAGATACAGTTTATTGAGCTATTCTTTGGACAGTACCTGCTGGTGTGGATGAGTCCCCTCATATATGAACACGCTAGTGGTGGAACAATGTTGTTCGTGGCATTTGCGATCAAAGGCGACTCCTTGTTCAGGAACAAGTAGGATAATTCTTCTAGGTCAGAAGTGGGAATCATGGGAAGGACAATTGGTTGACCCTGGGTAATGATGAAACGGCTTCCGTCTCCTCCAAGAATGGCTGTTGCTAAAGAAGGATGTCTTCGTAGATGTAAGTAGTCCTTTTACCGACAAGAGTCGTCTTACTCAGTCATTATTCTCACACTGAGGTGAGAGAGAAAGCATCCTTCTAAATCCACGGGGCACCTGTTCACCTCTTTGCCAGTTGTATGTGAGGCTTTAAACTGTGGGAGATAGTATTAATGACTTCTGTGAAAAAAGGCAAGTCAGTGACCTTGTTGTCCTTTTTAGTATTGTGTTTTGTTTGGAAACATATGTCAAGTGTCATTCCCTCGGCTCAGGTATCTGGATTGGGTATCGTGTTCAATGATCAGAGGTTTGTTTGCGGTACGGCAATCACCAATATATACACACTGAGGAACAAAGGGGTGGTACAGGGTAGCCTAGAGGTTAAAGCGTTCGCTCGTCACGCCGAAGACCCGGGTTCAATTTTCCCACATGGTTACAATGTGTGAAACCTATTTCTGTTGTCCCCGCCATGATATATTGCTAAAGCGGCGTAAAACTAAACTCCGGTCACTCACTCACCGACGAACATAATATACTTTAGTAAATCTATCAGTTAGATTTTGTCGTATGTTCTATTTTAGTTTTACATACTGAAGGCCAGCAGTGAGTACGCTGTATTGGCTTTCAGCATCTAAAGAATGATAATAGATTTTGAAATTGAATAAAAGTATAAATGAAATAAATATATCGGATAAGACAACCACTGGTGTCAATGGTATCTTAAACATGGGTATTTTCTCAATATTCAAATGAATAAGTACTCTTTCAACACAAATTTACATTCCAAACATGGTAGTGGTCATATTTGTTGCGCAGTCTATATTTTGCACAAAGCCATAGGTAATATTATAATCGCGTTTCTAACCCATGAAGGATTAATTCCACAAATAATAATTTCATCCCTCACTTTTCAGGGACATGATGCAGCTTCGTACAGACATCAAGTGGCTCCGATTATTGACCGTCAGATTGAAATATTTCGGCAAGAGCAAAAGTCAAGGCCACATACTGCACGTGCCACATTTGACTATATAGTGCAAGCTAACACTTTAGGTTCTCCCACGACTCGTATCGCCTGATTTTGACATTTAAGACATTTGTGCCTTGACGTAGAACGGTACCGTTCCAAGAATTACTGTAATACGTCGTTATTGATTGAAAGTGTATTAGCTATTGTGACAAGCTTTAAATTGTATTGATTTTGAGGACTACTGTTTGCAATGTTATCTCACGACCATGAAAGAAACAGTATGGCAGGGCTTCACGCCCGGGTACCGGCTTCATGGGTGAAATGATATTTTCGACTGTATATAATTAATGTGATGACCAATATCCTGTTAAACTTGTGTCAATGTAAAGCACAACAGATGAGACGAATACATTGTAGTATCAGGCACAACAATTTAACATGGAGCTTAGGCGATGCAATTTTAGTGCCAACTGGCCTCAAAGGCCCCGGGAACCGAGCAGAGGTTAATTTCTTCTTGAAAACATTGACGCAAGTACATTTTAAAACTCAGGAGAAGTAAAAAAGGAAATCAATACACAGTCAACACTGAAACCTGGCCACGATGCTTGTTCCAGAAATACATAAATGGTATTTTACGGTAGTTTCAAACTGTTGTCTGACACCTGTCGGCTCGTGTGTTCGTCGATGACTGTACTTGTCTGTCTCACAGCCCCTGTACCACATCATTTTCTGTTCAGCCCCCTGCTGGGCTCCTTTTCAGTTTCAAAATAAAGCTATATATTATCAGGGCGTTATTTTGGACTGCTACCATCTCAGAACGTGCTAGGGGAGACAATCCGTGTGAACGAAGGGCTAGTAAAATGGATTTTCACAGAAGGGTTTTTCCCCGATCCTAGTCGCTACATCTACCTGGTGTTGGGTAATGGATCGAGCTTACCGTTTTCTACAGACGGTGGTACGACGCGCTATTATACGTGCGAATACACAGTGCCCCTAGCAACAAATGTAGCGAAACATGGAGTCAGTATGTCTGAAATCTTGGTCAAGGCGCCGATATTGCTGAAATACTACAGTTGCGACTATAAACTTTGACTCACTCACTCACTTCTTGTGTTGAATGGTGTCATCGTCGCTTTCTGGTTAGTTAATATCAACCTGTTCTTTTCGTTCCTTGGTTGTTCCAAAGTTTGCGAAAGGATATTCTGACTTAACTTGTGCACAGAACTTTGTGTAACAGTAACGAGCACTTAGATCTGATGGTGAGATTGATTTAGCACAAAGATAATGCACAGAAACCATACTTATATAGATCATCCATCAGTTATTGAAGGCTGGCATGTGCAACGCTTATTCTTAGTTGGCAGCTGTGTTCATCTCAGACAAGACTCCAAGTTACTATCGTGAATTAACACCCATACGGCGTTAACTGTCAAGCAGCGATGAAAATAGATGAGACAGAACGCTTTCCATATTCGAAGCATCGTGGTTTCAAAGGTAGAGGTGAGTTGACTGTACGCTTCAGATTCTATCATGTGTATTTGTTTACAAATCATTATCAATTGACCATAAACGGGTGAGAGTTTCCCACTTCATCGATTGCACAAAGCCAGGGCTAGTTAATAGTTCATCTGATACGAACAGTTCTGCTAATTGTCAAGCTAAGCGATGTAAATATATACAGACAGAACCCTTACCATGTTCGAAGCATCATTTTCAAAGGCAGAGTTGAGCTGATTGTACGCTTCAGATCATGCTCCCGTCATAACAAAAGCCATGGCTAGTTAATAATTCATCTGACAGAGCAATCACGCAAACTTAAAACAGGAAAAATAGGGCATTGCATCGATATAATTTTTGTCATTGCCCCGGTACAGCTACCATGAATCGTTTAGAAAACTTAACTAATGACCTGATCGCAGTAAGATTATTCAAACAACTAGTGAGCCGTAGAGAGATCTGACTCGACTGTACCTCAAAACTTGTGATATGTAAACAACAAAGTTTCGAGCTGCAGGAATAGTGCTCAATATGAAGAGTAAGCTGGGTGTTTGAAAGTTGATCTCGTTTGTCAAATCTTTGTGTGTGAATCTAATATGTAACAGATTCTATATTTGCATTTCAGGTGGGTGAAGTCCTACATTGTAAACGTTATATAAGGAGCGTTTAATTCAACATCAGAATAACGTAATGGATCAAGACTATGTTATACCATAACCTAATGGTCAAAGATCCCTACTTCATTCGGGCCACTTACAAACAAAACAAAAATTTCAAGAGCCAACCACAATCTACGTTACTGTATCAATCGGCTGATCATGGTACACCATGGTTTCACCAGCACTCAGAACATGTGATCCTTCCACTAGATCGCCCATATTTAAACATAGACATACACTCACTCTGTTTATTGAAGATAACCAGCATCCTGACAACACAAAGCTAATGACGACAGTTAAATAGGATCCCAAGCTTAATTAAAACACCGCCTAAAACAAACGTAATACAAGTTCAAAGATTGATTGCAAATTTAATGTCAATTATCACTGAAATATACAGATATCTTCTTCGACATGGGCGGTATACTCAGACGGAGGTCGTTGTTCATAATGTTGATCACATGTTATGCCTGTCCCGGAATCAATGACTAACAACTCCCTGTCTAGCGAAAGGAACATTATACCGTAAACATACAAAGTACAATGAAGATTGATTTTCTAATAACTGGTGGCAGATGACGGAGGTATTGCAATGTTATGATGCCAAGATATTACGAGCTTTTGATCACTGACATGTTACTTTGTAAACACACTTGTCATATGGTCCTTCAAGGAATACTGTGTATGTACAAGGTTGTCTCGGTAATTCCCCCTGTACAGGGGATCAGAAGGACGCCACACATCCTCGGGGCGAAGAGCCATTTGGATACTCTGAAACATTAACACAAAAGTTATACTTATTGTGTCAAGGAATACCTTCAATATGTCAGTCTGGCTTGAACATCTGTCTCAATTCATTCATTCATCGGATCTCACATGTCTGAAAGGAGAGTCGATTCGAATCGACTTTGCTTATGCCATCAATCACTGGTTTGTTTACGAAATCACTTGCTGTACGACATGCTACATCACTGGGAGATTACTGATTGACAGAGATGCCCATGTGCGCAAACACAAATCACAACTTCCCTTAAAGCCCAGAAAAACAACAACAACAAAAAACAGATAAGGGAAAAAAAATAAACAAGAAAAACAAAAGAAACCAACAACAAATATTTGCATATTCTTAACCGATCTTATGCGAATCGGCGCAGACTTCCTTTGAATTGGTCTCACATTTGAATCGTTTGTTAAGTCGCAGTTGTTGTCCAGTAGTGCTTCACAAGACGAACTTAACACTAACCTCTCTGAACGTATGTGTCGCCATATGCTTCTTCACAGCCAGAATCATATAAACTGGCAATGGAATAATGGTCTCCTATAGTGCTATCATAAGACTTAACACTAGCCTGTCTGAACGTGTGTGATGCCATATGCATCTTCACAGCCAGAATCATATAAACTGGCAATGGAATAATGGTCTCCTATAGTGCTATCATAAGACTTAACATTAACCTGTCTGAACGTATGTGTCGCCATATGCTTCTTCACAGCCAGAATCATATAAACTGGCAATGGAATAATGGTGTCCTACAGTGCTATCATAAGACGAACTTAACACTAACCTGTCTGAACGTATGTGACGCCATATGCTTCTTCACAGCCAGAATCATATAAACTAGCAATGGGATGATCGACACAGAGGCGATGAACCAGCCGATGATGCTGGCGTAGCCGGGGAAGGTGTACTTGCCGTAGGTCGGTGGTTGGTACTGAAGGAGTGTCAGGATGAAGGCAGTCTGAAATATCCATCATAAGCTTCATGTAACATGAATGAAGTTTGTTGCATTCTGAACACCTCAGGGAAATCCATACTTTGTTATACATCCTTATGAAAGGAATCAGCTGAAGAAGGACAATTGGGCAAATAAGTTTTATACCTAAAATAATTATCATTTTTTATGTTTAAAATATAGATCAAATTGACCACAATTAGCCCTGATGTTCGTGCTATAAGCAAAAGGTAAGAAATTGATTTCCAATCCCTATTATCAACCTTCGATCACTTACAAGGAGCACTGCTGGTATGACGAAAGCCCAAAAGATCTTTACGACGATCGGAAGTGGTTTTCCAATCATCATCTCAACATCCTTGCTCATCTGCTTTACACCTGGAATACATGTATGACATCATATAGTGCACATACACAAAGGTTAACAGCAAACCAGGTATGATTTGTTCAGCTTCATATAAAATTACAAATAGATATCGTGCTGACCTAAAGGCATGTCCAGCTGTTCAACACGAAAACGTTGCTATATTTACCACAAGAAATAGAAACAGAAGAAAATGTAAAAAAAATATATACTGAGGGGAAAAAATAAGCAATCACATGAAAGCACAAGTACTCCCTTATTTGTTCCAGGTTCTTCACAAGCTATGCGATACAAAGCTTGTGAAGAAACCTTGGAAAAACTAAGGAACACTTGTCCTTTCATGTGATCCCTTATTTTTTTCCCTCAGTATATCTCCTTAGTCAGCGGAAATACATATCGTAGGATAAACTAACTTACTATTTATATTTTGTGCTAACTGCATCAGAGATAGTAATGCCCAGAGAAATAGGCACTCATGTGGTAATAATTTGAAATATAGCTCACCATAGATATAGACCACGGTAACACATTCCAGTGTGCAGAACAGAAAGGCTGATAAAGCACTTATATCCCAGTCCAGGAGCTGAAGGATGTATGGGCCGCCCTGAAACCGCAATAAAAATCCTAACAACAACAACAACAACAACAACAACAACAACAACAACAACAACAACAACGATGACGACGACAACAACAACAACTAGCAACGGCGATGGCGACGGTGATGATGATGATGGTCATGAATATCCACGCATCCTGCCCCGTGAAGATCCGGGTTAGAATTGGTCATCAGCAACCCATATTTGTCGTGAGAGGCGACTAACGGAATCGGGTGGTCAGGCTCGCTGACTTGGTTGACATATGTCATTGTATCCCCATTGCGTAGATCGATGTTCATGCTGTTGATCACTGGATTGTCTGGTCCAGAGACTCTATTAATTACAGACCGCCACCGTACAGCTGGAATATTTCTGTGTGCGGCGTTAAACCAGCCGGCCAACCAACCAACCAACCAGTCCTTTGAGGGCATCATAACTAGGTCATAGAATTTGTTCCACGTGGAGCTTCAACGCACCGGTACCATGTCCAAAGCCATAAGCCGAGGGCCAAACGTAAATCTTACCTGCGTGCAGAGTAAGATTCCTGCAAGAAAGCACATCACACATACACCAGCGGTTACAAGCCAACGCTTTCGTGACAGATCTTTCGGGTATTTGTCGACAAGGGCTGTTGTGATGACCTCCATGCTCATGAACTGAAAGCAGAAAATGTACATTAGTAGTCCTCCAATCAGCTGTCATGACTGAGTGAGTGAGTATGGTTTTACGCCGTTTCTAGCAATATTCCAGCAATCTCACAGTGTACTCATTTGGGAAATCGAACCCGGATCTTCAGCATGATGAGCGAACGCTTTAACCACTAGGCCACCCCACTGCCTTCCCTGTGATGAGGAAATGGCCCCAAGACAAAATATAATGACACCCTTGCACTGTGTGGAAATGTGTCTGCGTCCGCTTTGTTCGGCCAAATAATTATACCCAATGTCACTAAACTTACCAATCATGTACTTCCTTTACGAGGGCTATTACAGCCTTGTCTAACGCTTTCTTCTTAATATGTGATGTTCTCGTATGGCACATATGGAGGACACTTTCATTTTGAAACAATTTTCTTTTTGTACCTATTAGTGAGTGTTAATGTACGTAACTACTTGACTTGTCTTTGCATGTATTTATGACGTGTCAGGAGTGTGGACACCTAGTATCATTACGGAGTGATATTCTTAAAACATGCTGGTGAAGGACAAAGGAGTCTCCTTTTAACAGTGATTTCTTATCATTTTTTAAAATTTAGTTTTCGTTTATATAAACGTCTGCATTCAAAACTTGCCTGTTGAGACTACGGCTTGTCTGTCCTCACAACGTTCACGATCAATGTTGCATACTCACGTAATGTACTCATATATGGCAACATTGAGACGCCCACCTGACCATCCAGGCCCACAGCAAGAAGCATGAGGAAGAACAGGAAGGACCACAACTGAGGCACCGGAAGTTGCGCCAGAGCTTCTGGGTAGGCTACAAAACCTAGCCCTGGACCTTCATCACGATAAAATAACAGTATTGTATGAACTTTCTTCTGTTATTGTCCTTGTGTACTTTTTATCCTTGAATGAGTACATAAGACTTTATGGTTGTAATAAACGTTCATCATATATAATATGTCTGTGTATATAATATAAGTATGGGATATCAGAGACTGATAACGGAATTTCATTTTCTATATGATCATGCAACCATGTACGGTTGTACAAGAACAAAGTCAAGTTTTATTTGAAACAATAGACCATTGCTTTGAAAGTTACAAATTGATCTAACGCGAGTGCACTTTACAATGTCATCACCATTTTGACCATTTCCCTAGTTCCTAGTCTATGTTTTCTGAACGTACGACCATAGTGGCCGCCCATAGGTATTTAAAGGGCTCATACATACAGCTGTTCGCAGCTTGACATTTAAGCTGTAGTAAAACAGCTCCAGCTGGTGTTTTTCGTGGACATCAGGATGTCGCCTTTTTGTGTCCGCTAGACTTTAAACCTGGGCGTAAGATGAAAAAAACCAAAGCAAACTGAGCACCTTACTCACCGCTGGAAACTACATCCGAAATATGGACGCCAGTTTTCTCGGACATCACTCCAAGGATGCCAAAGGTCACCAGGCCGGCAAAGATGCTTGTACCTTCAGATATCGTGCTCACTATGATGGCGTCCCTTTCAGAAATAGATACAACTGATCTCGTGTGCAATCATCTGGCGGACGCTAGTTCAAGTTTCACTGGGGATATTTATTTGTCTTCTATCTTCGCCACCTTAACACCGAATAAATATATCTTATGATAAACGTAAAAGAAGAGAAGTTAAGAGTTGATTATGACAAATCCACATGAAAAGTATCCCTACATGACTTAATGATACTGTGAGGTGACGCCACGGTTGGAATGACGTCATATGTACATCCCACAATGTGGGGCATCTTAAGAATGTCAAGCCTCTTTGTCTTGAGTATGATATAAGGTAAAATAAGGTGCATCTGAGAGCATCGACAGTTGTTCACCAAGGATATGTCTCTAGTTAATTGGGCTGAACACTCATTAGTTTCACAGAGGGTTGACGTCTTTTACTGACGAGGAATGCGTTATGATCAGCCCCAAAGCCACCCTAGCTGACAATTTCACGGTTTGCATGTTGTTTTGGTCGTGTTTTCTGAGGCTGTAGCTATATATAGAAGAAGGAATCTCAAAGTGAAAAGCTTTGCATAAAACGCTCGTGGCACCCAGTTATAAGAAACGTTGTTATAACGTTGTGAGGAGCCCAAAGCATAACGTTTCCTCAGCGTAAATTTGCAACGTTGGTATTACCTTGTGACATAACGTTATAAAATGACGTAATACTAACGTTGTGTCATGACGTTACCAATCTACAACGTTCCCACATCGTTGGGAACATGTTGTGCGTTAGTTGGGTATACACTCCACTCATCACACCCAGGTGACACTGAAGGTGGACACGCAATTTCGTGCAATTCCTAAACTCGTGCCTTCAAAATAGTCGGTCTCGCAATATGGTCTCTCAATTTGGCAGGGATAAAGACACCTTTACTCCTATGGTCTTAGAAAGATAGCAAACATTAGGGTTTTGGAATGGACATGGTGCACCACTGCTATTCTTGTTAACGTGAAACGAATATTTGGGTATGAGAGGAAATTAGACAGTATCATCATGAGCATCGATCTACGCAAGTCGATCAGCCGGGCTGACCACCCGATCCCCGTAGTCGCCTCTTACGACAAGCATGGGTTGCTGAAGATCTAAACCGGATGAGCACGGGTCTAAGTATGCTTACCGAATGAAGAGGTATCCCAGGAAGGATTAGACTGACACCTCATGTCTCCTCAACCATTACTTACTTGTGACACGGCTCGTGGAACTTGTTATAGCTGGAAGCGGTGCCAATGGAACCCCAGCCTAGTCCCAGAGAATACATCACTTGTAGAAACGCCTCAAGCCACACCTTGTCATAATTACCATCATAATAATTACACCGAACTCATAATATTCGACCAAGAATTCTTGTTCATTATTAAATGATCACAGAGACATTTTTGAGTTACTCTCTTGTTGTCTTGAACACAATCCTTTACAAGCACTTATATTCTTATGGAAAATGTTTTACTTTTAGTCAAGTCTGTATGATGTTATATCACTTGACCAAATACATGGGAATAATAACTACTGAAAAAACTATTACCTACCCCATTATTTCTATTACATAACCCTGCTGTAAAGCTTTACACCCGGATCCTACGAACAAATTCTACCATTGGATTATCCCGCAAGACTCTGCCCCTGGGATTTTATCACTTGACGGGACTCTACAGCCGTGATTCTCACACAAGAGTTTGCCCCTGGGATTCTACCACTTGACTTAATTGACTCTACCCACGAAATTCTACCACTAGAAGTTACCCCCGGGATTCTCCCACTTGACTCTGCCCCCGGGATTCCACCACATATTGCTAACCCTGGGATTCTACTACAAAGCCCTACCACCGAACTCTGCAAGAACGGTCTGCGCCGTACATTCTGCTGAACACACCTTCACATCCTGTAGTTTCCCGAAGTCCGGCGTGACGTAGTACAGCAGACCGGATCCCGCTCCCGGTTGAATCAGAGTGCTGATGAAGATGATGATCAGGAGTATGTACGGCAATATTGCCGTCACGTACACTGCCTGGAAAAACAAGCAGTTGTTACCATCTTGACAGTACATACACTGATGCACACTGATGTATTTTCAGCGGCCATAAAATGTCCGAGTCACGTGCTGGGATTGGAACTACGGACGCCTTGTGCACATGACCAAAGAAATTAACCCTATCAACAAGCTGACAAGGTAAGGATGTCATCTGTGAGATGGCTACATATAGCCAATGCCAACTACAAGCAGTTGTTATCATCGTGACTTTTAGTACTTTCACTATATTGGATCGGGTGTTCGGGAATCGTGACCATGTTGTTTCCTGATGTACTTGTTTTCTTGTTTAGACTCGCGAACATACAGGCATTGTGACGGAGCTGTAACATTGAAGACCCTTGCGTAATTCAGAAAGACATTGTCCTGACAACTAACACGCGTACAATTTGGGTTGTATATAAGATATCTGTGATTGCAATTAGAATACACACTGGTTGATTGGCAATACCACTTCGACATCGAACATATCCCTCTTCGGACATTTAACTCATTAATACTGATATGATACGTTTTACCTTGCCCACTGACTTGACCCCGCGAATCATGCACAGAAATATGATGACGTATGAAGCGAACAAACAAGCCACGATGTGCCATTGGACAGAGCCCACCTCCTCCAAACCTCGAGATATACTCAGCACATTGTACCTGAAACAACGATGGAAACAGCTGGACTGAACAGGTACATGGTATCACCGTTTGAGAGTTTTGTTGATTAACACATGCTTTGGTCCTCAGCGAGGTATGGCAGGGGCATTTTACGCATGTGCTGAGCTCATTTGCATTAGCGATTGTGAGTTTCCCTTCAGGGATCAGATGCAACAACAAGGTCTTGTTACTGAACACCTCAACTATAACTGTATTGAAATCACAAAGTTCAATTTTGTATTTTGTCATGTCACTGTGATTTAATAAGTTATTTAAAAAAATGGCCGAAAAACAACAAGTGCAACGGGCCAACGACTAATTCAAACTATGGCCCCCAAGGAATAATCGTACTGCCAGAATTCCTCGGCCGCTGTATGACCTAGAGTGACATTTTCCCAGCGCTGTGTGACAATAGCATCATCCGCGCTTGTTCCGTTGTGGCTGCTGTAGGTGACGTTCCTCACGTCTTCCACACACATGTTGGTGTTCCAGTCGTTGCCACAAGTTGTCCAGGGCAGGACGCTGGAGCAGGACTTGACCATGTAGTAGATGGGCCAGGCCAGGAGGATGCTGTAGTACGGGATGTAGATGACGTTCATCACCAGGGCACCGACACCAACTCCTGTTTCCATGACAAATGGTCACAAGAATCTGTCTACATGTTTCTAGAAACGTTTGTTTGCCTCCTTGGAGGCAGTACAAACGATCTACCGGTGCAATCATTCATTTGAGACTTTCATTTAGGAGTGAGTTGTTTTATTTTTTCGCCGCTTTCCAGCAATATTCCAGCAATTTCATTTCGGTAGACTCTATTTATAAACAAGATGCATTGTGTACGGAACGTGAAATGACTCACGTCACTGCAGACAGCAATGTCCTTGTTCAAGTGAGTGAGTTAGTGAGTTGAGTTTTACGCCGCACTCAGCAACATATCAGATATATTGCGGCGGTCTGTAAATAATCGAGTCTGGACCAGACAATCCAGTGATCGACAGCATGAGCATCAATCTACGCAACTGGGAACCGATGACATGTCTCAACCAAGTCGAGCCTCACCACCCGACCCCGTTAGTCGCCTCTTACGACAAGCATGGGTTACTGAAAATCAATATTCTAACCCGGATTTTCACGGATCTCTTTGCTCGATAAGTCTAAACTGATTTCCTTCGATAATTTTGAATGAATGTATCCATGCACATCATACCAACCTTTGAATATAGGACAGAAACTCCACACACCAGGAGTCGCCCTTCCGGAGAACTGAGACAGCGAGGCTTCCAAGAAGAACACGGGGAACCCAATGATTAAGATACAGAGTAGGAACGGCAGCAGGAAGGCGCCTGTGGATTAAACAAACAACCAAACGTGGGTGTCAGAACATAGTCGAAGGCAATTTGTAACATCCAAAGGCAGTTTCAATCGCTTTTCGTTTAGTAATTTACAACAAATAAATTCAAATTCAAATATATATCGTTGAGCGTATATACATACATATTATGGTATAGATTGAGTGAATAGTTTTACGCCGCTTTTAACACATCTGTATACCTGCAACATATATAGGGGGCAACAGAACTGGGCTTCAAACATTGTTGGGAATAGAACCTGTGTGTTTGGTGAGACGAGCAAACGCTCAAACCATCCGGCTACCACACAACCCCGGCAAAAATGTACAAAATAAGGAAATATATATAACGTGCTATCAACAGTATCGCAGCCAGATCAAACAATGTCAGATCCACATACTGGAAGTCGCGATGGCTGACAGGACTAGGCGGCTGACTTTGTGTGCTGGCAATTAGGTGCCTGACTCTGACTCGCAGATGGGACTCAACCCAAAAAGTACTAGAATTTGTACTTTACTAAGAAAGTGTAATCCCAAATATAACATATTTACATTTGACCTCTTTCTAAATGGCAGTGTGTAATCATAGCCACATACTGTGCTTAATCACTACAGAAAGAGATTGTTTCTGATACCTCCGCCATTTCTGTTACAGACGTACGGGAACCTCCACAAATTCCCGAATCCAACACAATAGCCAACAAGGGAGAGGATGTATTCAATACGTGAATTCCATTTGGCCCTCTGATCCTCAGATTCTTTGCAGAACACTTCTCCATATTTGTCCACATGCATATCGTCTTTAGTTCTCTCATCCTTTGGAAACCCATGACTCGTCTCGTTCGTTGTCATACTTGTCACTGTTTAACAAAAGTTTGTAAATGAAAAAGTTTTATCCGAATCGGACAAGAGTAATGAGACATTGACTGAACATGTTTGTATTCTGGTCTTAAGATATGATCGCAGGCTGCAATTTTGTGGGTACATATTAACAATAGTGAGGTGAGGTGAGGTGAGGTGAGGTGAGGTGAGGTGAGGTGAGGTGAGGTGAGGTGAGGTGAGGTGAGGTGAGGTGAGGTGAGGTGAGGTGAGGTGAGGTGAGGGTGAGGTGAGGTGAGGGTGAGGGTGAGGTGAGGTGAGGTGAGGTGAGGTGAGGTGAGGGTGAGGTGAGGTGGAGGTGAGGTGAGGTGAGGGTGAGGTGAGGTGAGGTGAGGTGAGGTGGTGAGGTGAGGTGAGGTGAGAGGTGAGGTGAGGTGAGGTGAGGTGAGGTGAGGTGAGGTGAGGTGAGGTGAGGTGAGGTGAGGTGAGGTGAGGTGAGGTGAGGTGAGGTGAGGTGAGGTGAGGTGAGGTGAGGTGAGGTGACGACGTGCGTATGTGTATGTGCGGCTGCTTGTACTAGCCCAGACTTAAGCTGGTTTTATAGTTCTAGCCCACTGAGACACCATGCCGCAGTGAAGCAAGAATACCCCACTCAGACACATAATACTGACTCCGAGCCGACCAGTCCTTGTTGTACCCATTAATGCCGAGCGCCAGGCAGGGACCAACAAGTACCATATTTTAACGTATTTTGGTATGACGCGGTCGATAGTGGTTAAAGCGTCCGGGATGTAAAACCAGTCGCTGAGTAACAACCGAGATACAACATGTAGCGGCAAGGTAGGAGTCATCATCATCATCATCATCAAAATCAGGTATGAATGCGTGAACGAAAAGAGGAAACAATTTCTTAAAAATTCGTAGCATTTAGGTTGTGTTTGTGAGTTCGTTCGTGTGGAGAACCGCTTAGCATACATAACACCTTGATCTCGCATCTCGAACACTATTTCAGCCTCAGTCATATCAATAAACAACTGATCCCTGTCTCGAACAATTCCTTTACTGGTATTGAGTGTTTTATGAGCTGTAACTGAATCAGGAACACCGACAAACGAAACTATTGACATGAGGTTGGTGGATTGTTGCTTCCTGTTGCTTTCTATTAGCAAAAAACCTGATCTTAATCGTCTGATGTTTTAAAGCTCACCAGCTATGCCTTGAACATCCTTAGTTATTGCACAAGGGTTCAATTTGAGACATGTTTTGTCAACTGTCTGAATTAATAGAAGACGTGGCCAATGTTCTACAGACGTTAAAGGTCGTTGCCCATCTTCATTTTCCAGTGGACGTTTGTTTTTTAAGGGGTTTGGTATTCTATGTTTGTTGGTAATATGGTTCACCACCCGAGTTCCCACCCACCTCGGAGTATCGTAAAGACAATATTAATACCAATTGGATTTCCTACTTGTAGCACCAAGGATACCCGGATGATATACTCCAGCAGAAAAAACTAAAATATTAACTTTCAACCAGATTGGCCCGTGAGCCACCGACTTCAGAGCATAAGACACCGAGTTCATGATAAATATATCATATAGTCAAATGCTGTTCTATGAACAGGGGCGCCAAGACCAAAATTTAAACAATTCTTAATCACATTTTATGCAATTACATAAAATCCATGAACAGGACCTGGCATGACCAGCCGATTGATAGAACCGGGTCCATTCTACCACCCGTCTACTTGAAGTAAGGGGCGAAGTTGTGTGGGGCAAAAGAACGCTATTCCTGGAACAAGTGTCCCCAACCACCAGAATCCCGTCCTCCATCGTCACAGGGGCGCAATCCACGGCAAACAGGTTGGTGGACCAAATATGCACCCGGGTCCACACGGGGGGATTGAAGAACTCTTAGCGTTACCAGGAGGTGGCTTTTCTCGGGTGCCAGTTCACGTTATAAGTTATATACAGAATATAAGATATTTCGAGAGCCAGAGGGGTATCTGTCATCAAGTATTGGTCAAATTTAGAGCTGGTGTATTATGTTTTAAGAATACTCTTGATGTATCTCAAAGAAATTGTCCTGTATGTAAAGTAGATTTAGAAGATGAATATCACCTTCGGGGTAGATTTCTGCCTAAGAATTTGCAAGTTAGTATGATATCGTTTAACATTATCCTTAAAAAAACAACAACTGAAGGCATAAACATTCGTGCTCTTTTTATCTATTATGCATACAAAATGAGAGAAAAGTTTTAAAAAAAGAAATAGGTATTACAATTCTAAAAAAATCCCAGTATAGCTATACATATATATGTTACTGATCTTTTCCACTGGGGGAAGATAATCTATGCAGGTAGACAGGTAAATGCTACGAATTTTTAAGAAATTGTTTCCTCTTTCCGCATTCATACCTGATTTTGATGATGATGATGATGATGATGATGATGATGATGATGACTCCTACCTTGCCGCTACACGTGCCTGTATCTCGGTTGTCACTCAGCGACTGGTTTTACCTCGCACTCAATGTCAGTGTCATTAAAAACGGGACTGAGCGTGATCAACATATAAATGTAAATGTTATTAGGTTTCAGATACCACGATAATCTTTTATTTATCATTCATTTCATGGTTTTTCTCGAGACACAACTCGTTGAATATGTTGGTCTTTTATTACACGGATCAGTATGATGTTTTATTTGGAGATCGGCATCACAAGATTGGCCCATGAGCCACCAACTTCTGGCATTGGACTCTTTGGCAATTCAATGTATCAATAATTTGTAAATTAGAAAAAATCGAAATGGCCAAGACCCAATAATGACTTGAATGTGCAAAATTATTTATAAAGCACAGGGCCAGGCCTAGCGTGACCAGCCGATTGTTAGAACCGAGCTGTCTACAACCCGTCTAGGTAAAGTAAGGGTCGAAGTGGTGTGTTGGGCAAAGGAACACTGTTCCAGGAATCAGTGCTGTCAATACCAGAATTCCTTCCTCCACCGACACTGGGGCGCAACCTGCGTCAAACAGGTTGCCTGTTTCAGTCGTCTCTTACCACCAGCAGTAAGGTTCTGAGGACCTTAGAATCTGACCCGGGTCCACACCTTGAGTGCCTTGTTAAGTGCTCAACAGCTATGGAAATTATAGGTATGGGTCATTGAAAATATAACAATACAATAAATGTCACCAAATATGCGAGTAGGTGTGATTCGTTATATTCCATAGAACGTTTTGATGTTGTTGGTAGATGAACTGAGAGAAAGCCATATGATGTTTCCAACTGATTTGCCCATCTGAACTGGACATAAAAGAGACAAGTGTGACCACCGCATGCGTTACATATGTTGACTGTACACGTGTTTACAGTTGACAACTTTTGTGATTCAATCGAGCACGCTCTTTGTAACATGATTTCAAATGGCCAAATACGACTCTTGCTCAGAAATTGTTCGCTCAAAGATAAAACATTCCGCGAAACAAGGGAGGTTACACTCTCACTACAGTGTTCAGGTGGAAGTGCACCCACACTTCACATTAGACTTAATGAGTGAGTGAGTGAGTGAGTTAAAAAATTTCATCGCCTTCGGCAGTATTACAGCCATTTAGCGATGAAAACAAGGTAATCATTTTAAAATATCTGTCGACAAATGACAGTAAAATAGGTGGGTATATCACAATTTTAAAATAAAACCAACCTGACAATAATCAAGATAAGAAGACAGTAGATTCAATACATTTATTGTGACCAAATAAAACCGGGCTATAAACCACATAAAGTTTGACCACCTTACTGGGGATCAAGGGGACTAGTCGTAATGAACGTAACGATAAAATGACAAAATTCAATATACAAGGGTCATTTATTGAACAATTCACGCGATATTCCCCGTGACTTTATTTGGTGACATATCGGCGTTGACGTGATAGAAAGGCGGAGTATGCTAATCCTTTTACTGCGCCTGCCGATACTTTACTACGGAGAGTTATTTATTTAGTAACACAGTGACTAAAACAAGTTATACATAAATAATAAATATAGTCTCATGTTAAAATGTGTAGGCACAGGACGGCAAGACATCCCATGTACAATATATAATGAAAGTCAATACGATAAAAAGAATTGACTGTAGACGGACAGCAACCAAGGTAGATCCCCATAATAGTGACCATGGGCACTTTTGCGACCTTTGTTGGAATATTGTCCTATTGGAGCAATATGGTGCACTTGTGTGTTGTCTAAAGCATACGGTTGTTGGATAGCTTTTGGAGGCATTCAGGAAATTAACTGGAGATCCTATTTACTGAAATGAAACGCCACATAGTATAATGTAATTCAAATTGGTGCCATATGAAATGACTGAAGAGACCTTTGATTCTATGAAAGGAAACTACCTGTTAGCCTCAACACTGAACTGTGATAGATGTAACGTTTTCATCACAAGGCAAAAGACTGAAAAGAACACATTTTGTCATGTTTAGGGTTGCACAAAATGTTAACTGAGGGAGATGTTTCTGGAAGGCCAGTTAGCCTCACTTGGCACATTGATAATGATTTGTACCTTTCTTCCATGACATTAAAGGTAAATATTGAGCATGTGTGAGAACACTGTATATAACATGTATAATCAGTACTGAGATGTAATGTCTCCTCTTCTGGATGGTCTGGATGTTGTACTTGGGGGGTGTTAGTAAGGTAGTGGAAATGGATGAGAACAAATTGGGGAGGAAGAGAAAGTACAACACGTTTTCTAGTCAGGGCATTGGATCTTTGATCTAATTGATCTAATTGCCAATAATCATTGTTCAGAGTGAGTGAGTTAAAAAAATACGTCGCATGGGCATTATTTCAGCCATATCATGAGGACAAGAACTCATATACTGAGAATTTATATATTCATATTATTTTTTTTTAATTTGTCAACGAAGGACAGTATAACGACTTGACTATCACAGATTATAATTAAACTCGTCTGA